AAGAAATACCAGAATATATTGAATAAAAGATGTATTTGATATTGAATTTTTTTTTTATTCTTTTGGATTTAATAAAAAAAAGCTTGGTCGATAAAATTTTCATTAGAGTAACATTTTCGATTGATTTCTCAGGAATGGATTACAAATTTCATTACTAAATTAATTCTATAATTTTAGAATACATCCATTATTTCCGAGAAGATTCAATTAAAAATTAGAAATTGTCCATTAATATTTATTGTTTACTAATAAAATACCTGAATATCGTAAAATATAGATACATTTTTTAATTTTCTATGAAATAAAGATATATAAATAAAATTGCCCAATGAAAAATACCTTTAAGAAAATTCTAAAGATTCAGAGTGATTTAACAGCTTCGGAAATGTTATACTTGTTTACGATATAAAGGGTGGAAATCCACTTTTATAAAGGATAGAAATTTTTATGACTACAATAAAAACTATGCTATCCGCAAATTTATATTAAATTGACTTTTTTATAGAGTAAACTAAAATGAACAATTTTTGTTGCTAATCTTATCTTCAAAGTATGGCATTAAATCTTTTAAGTAGTTCTATCTATTATACTGAGAAAAAAAACATTCCATTCTATTTTTTATTTTTTTGTATTTATAGTAGGGGAAGGGTGAGTGGAACGCAAGGGCAGAGTAAAACACTCGAGAAAATGTACTAATTCATCAAAATAAGTTTAAAAACGCTTATTGCACTTTATGTTTATCAAATTTTCAATTTATTAATGCATTAAAAATTATTTAAATTTGTTAATATTATGGATAATTTATTGATTAACATTTTTTCGTGATGTTCCACTTTACCCTCTCTTCCCCTACCATAAAAATTTCAATCAAGTTTTGCTTTTTTAGTAATAAAATTTTTTCTCAATTTGATCAACTAATTGTCCGAAAAATTGTGTAACACATACAGACAATACTATTTATATCTTAGGTCAATTTCCTTTTCTTATTACTTTAATTTAACAATTATATTTTTATTTTTATGTTTGATTGCCACAAGAATTTTATTTACAATGTTATATTTAATAAAAATCAACTAGTGTTTTAGGATTCTTATTTACTAAAAACTTCCTAAAGTAAACGAGTTGTTTCGTCTCAACACTCAACTCTTTTTTATAGATCCTCTCAGAAGAATGTTTTATTCAAAAAAAATCTAATATTTGTTAAGTATCATTTAATAACTAAAAAAAATTTTATTTATAATAAAAATGGTAAAATAGTATTATCATCCATATAGTAATATTATTAACCATAAAGAATCTTTTTGTCATTGTCGCAAGCTTTATTACTCAAGAAGAGGAGAACTATTATTCTGCTTTCTGACGTGCAGTTATCCTGCAATTCAACTTAATCTCACGCAGTTAAATAGTATAATATAAACGCACAATCTTGACTCTGCGAAGATACTTGGTTGCTTTTTTATTTCTTCTTGGAAGCCACTAACGTGTAATGTAAAAAGTATAGAATAAGAAAAGCGTCGGTTCAAGTCGTAAACCCCCTCGAGACTTCATCAGCTCTAAGCCAAATTTCCTGCACTACCACTTACTTCAGTAATCCTAGTCGTTCGATGGTTTTAAGGGCAAGCGAGTCGACAAGCGTGAGCAACTTGGAAGAATTCGTGGTGTTGAAAAACCGACAAAAAAAAACCTTAAAAAAATATAAAACGAAAAAAGAGAAAAAAAGAAAAAATAAGATTAGGAGTCCAGGCTGCTTAAGCTATAAGATAATAGTGACGAGGTCTAAAAGCTAGTTAAGTTTAATCAGCGAGCACGTGAAAGGAAAAGAGAGTGAGTGAATAAAGTTATACAGGGTTGAGACTATGCAGTAGTACTACACTTTAAACCTGCATCACCTGAAATATTTCTCTTTGCATTTCGGTCGCGTAGTTTCAACGATTCCCAAGGGCCAGCTCGTTTGTTGCCACAATGACTTCAAGCTAAACGGCTTTAGCAATTGCATTGAACTATTGATTTTTGATTCGAGTTTGCAAGAGAATCGGGGTGTGTATCGTAAATGTGAGTCACTCCATTTTAAATCGCAACCGTATATTCATGTGCTACATGTTACATTGCGATTTGAAGCCATTGTCATGATAATCGAAGTAAAATGCTCCCAATGCATTAATAACCTATAAATGTTGGCGTTTTTGGAACCAGGCCAGATTTGTTCTATGAGTTTCCTCTATTTAGCGAATCCATCACTCCATGTTCTGCTGCTATTGCTTGAATTTCCCTCACTAAGTACGTATACACACGTCAACTGCAGGGTGGTCATTAACTCGCGTCTGTCAACCACTATCTCAATTTATATTGAACAATAACCCGCCACTTAACATTTCATATCCAATTTACCATTTTTATCACTATTATAGTAATTTTATTTCCATATCTAGGTGATATTCAATTATTATTTACCATTAGATCTTTTATTTCGGAAAAGAAGAAAAGAAAATTGCCCTAGGAAAGTAAAAATTGGATTTCCAATCCATTTTTTTATGTTTCAGATTTCTGCAGCTATTCTAGTAAGTCTTAAAAACATAGTTTTATTGGTAGGGGCCAAGGGATATATGGGTTGAGATTCTGTGTGAGAATACTTTAAAAATTGCTAGATTGATCATCTTCTATTCTGACATAAAAAAATGTGAAGGAATTCTTTCAAATTGGGGTCAAATTTGAAGGTGTTTTTTATTTTATTTTTTCAGGATTATAGTAAATAAACTAAATAGATTAGTTGGAATTAATTTTTTGATGTAATAGAAAGGTAAATATTGTACTATAACAGTTTTTTTGTATAAATATTAAAAGAAGTATAGCTGTTTGAAAATTAGTTTGTTTTTCCAATCATATCAGTAAATAACTTTCAAAAAATCAATTTGTAATTTTAATGCCAATTTGCAAACCGGGAGGAAAAATTAATAATGTAAAAAACAAAGGTTTTTTTTTTAAGTTACGTTATTAGTACAAATTTAATTAGAAAGAAAATTTATTTTTCATTAATAAACAACAATCAGCTAATCATGTTTTTAGAAAATCAAAGCTACGAAAAAAATTGCAATTTATTTTTTAGAATAATTTATTTTATGGAAATTACATTTCATAAAACTAATTCGATTACACGGTAAAAGTCACATTTTTTAAATATGGAATTGTTCTATCACTGTGTATATTTGTTAGAGTTGACAAAAAAAAATCATTAAAAATAACTGCCATGTCTGTACCATTCATGTAAGCATTTAAAAGCTCTTGTAAAAATTCTCATAAATTTTTTTACTATGTTTTCTGTGTAAATTTAGCAAAGTAATGTCTGTTATAAAAATCCAATCAAATGTAACATTAAAGGTTTAAAAAATATCAATTTATGACTTCTGTTCATGTTAACGTCACTTGTCAAGTTATCTGAAGTTGATACAAATTTATCTAGATCTATGCCTATAGTTGTTTTCATCAACATTAATTTAAATTCAATGATAAATTAACTGCAAACTAGCTTATTTGTGTAAATAATATTTTATATATCAATCAATCTTTGCATATCTATCTATATTTCATCAGAATTTGAAGAATTCATCATTATTCCATCTCTAGCAGAGCTAGTTCCATTGAAGCTACCCAAATACCATTTAATCATGAGTTACTTTGATCTAAATACAAAAGAATTTTCGAATAAAATTTCTGCAACAGTTCTTCAAATATTATTTTTAAGAAATGCTTGTCCCATATTCACTTATCACAGAAAACTCTACATTCATCTCCCAAAAATGAGACAATTCTTAATTCATCTATGCTAGAATCATCATTAGTTCAAGTTTTAAACTAATAATTTGTTTAACGATTCATGACTCTACCTAGATACCAACCAAAGAAACAGATTCAATTCAAGAACTTTGTAAATTAGTACTTAAAAGATTAAATGAAATTTGTGTTCTTAAAATGGTGTAGAAAGTAAAGATCATCATCAGCTTTATGGTGAAATAATCAGATTACCCAAATTATCAACAATTAACTTATATAGTTAATGAAAAGTAGAGTCAATATTTTTGTTGAAAGTTATTTCAAACAAGTTAAGTATGTCCAAGAAAGAAAAGGAACTATCGATAAAGTCACTTGTAAGCTCTACTTCTTGGTGATGTTACTTGTTCCAGTGTTGGAACTTGTTATCATCTATACAGTCGATACTGTCGGGCTTGCGGAAAATATATTATTACAATATTTCATGCACTGATAACAATTAAATCAATAATTCATTTCAAATAATAAATTGAGCTTATAAATTAACCATAAATAACTGACGATTGGTTTGCTAATATAAATATGTATTTTCTAACAATTGAGCTGTAAAATTTTTTCACATGAATGAACAGGAGTATATATTTATTTATTTCTATTGCTTCAACTATTTGAAGACTATCAAATGAGCAGTTTTAAAGTACTATAGTTGTTATCTCGATGTTCAATAGTTCAGAATATTATGGACTAGATATTTGAATGAATATTGCAATCATTTTTCATTCAATTCATGAAGCTTAATGAATACAAAAAACTTTTATATAATAAAAAAAATGATGATATGACAGAATTAATGACGTTTTGATTTAAGACAGTTTTTTTATACAGACTCATTTGAAACTCATCAATGAAGGGGTTTGCGCAACTCATTGTCATTTCAAACAATAATTTCAATGAAGTGTACTAACTCCAATAACAACTACTCCTTTCGTAACGGCAGTATATATTTTCTTCAAAATGTCTCTTTCATTGGACGGATACGTGGTGTTTTTTTACTTATTTAAATTCTTTTAAAATTGGTGTAATATAGTTATATAACGTTCTATTCAAATTGATGTTCTTTTTTTAAATTAATTTTTTTTCTCCATACAGTTATTGTCATCAATAAAAAGATAAAATAAACCTTTTGGTCTCGTTGTTTCGTTTTTTACGAAATATCCAAAGTTTTTATTCACCTTTACAGCGCTTACCCCATCATTTTTCACTTGCTGCTATAAAATTATATTTGACAATATATATTTCTTTATCATAGTAAGTTATTTATGCAATGATAAATGAATTTGATTTTACAATATTTCAATTTTCAACGTGTGATCTGAAAGTATAAAACAAACAATTGGTAAATTGGAACAGAAAAGAGTACTTGATGAATTCGGTGAATTGTGTTAACTTAAGAGAAGAATAAGATAAATAAAGAAACTTACGTGCTAGCTTCATCAATCACTGTAATTGCTCTATTGTTCATTGGAGTAGACATTAAACGCCATTTCGAATTTATTTCATCTTCGTCATCAAGCACTGGGTTATTATTGCTTTGGTTAGTTTGGAGACCTTTAGCTTTTGCTAGAGACCATCGTCGGCCCTTTCGGTCCATGATTATCGGCATCTCCGCAATTAAATTATTCTCAAATTCAGAAAGCATTAAGTAATTTTCTACTTTATTACATGACGTAATACAATCACCAATGTAATCCATATCATCCAATATATTATCTGGCAAATCCATGTCAGCTATACCTTCTTCAGATATACAAGTTAATTCAGGTTTGTCAACTCCCAAGTTGTCAATAATTTCACCTAACAACGTAAATAAATGTTTTTCATCAATGTTATATATATAAATGTGTATGTATATAGTTTTAGAGTGTACAACCCTCTTGAAAATTGTCTTACCCGAAGCAGATGGATGCTCAGTCCTCGCCATCGCAGCTGCTGCTGAACCAGCTGCACCACGATCATTTTCGGGCTCTTTATTAAAAGACAATCTACGTTTTTGTGGACAGGTATTTGACTCACATGAGTGCTTGATAGCATTAGATTTGGAGTGTTCATTTTTAGATAAATTTCTACGGTGTAAATCAATGAAAAATAAAGTAAAGCTTCCAACTAAGACACATGTTGAACTGAAATAATAGCCAGCTTTATCTCCACAGCTAATATTTATATATCCTGCAATTATGACAATTATATTTCAGTAATAATAGAGTGAAATAAAAATGTATTATTGATTTTGTATTGACTGTATTACCTGATATCGGAACTCCAATTGCAATGGGAATAGCTTGTGAGCATTGAACGAATCCCCACGTTCTTGCAAAGTTTCGAGCTCTCACACGTTCGTATGTATACATTTTTAGACTGTAGTGATAGCCACCACAAAAAATACCATAAATCCAGGTGAACATCACATACCCGTGATAGTTTCCATGAACAGTGGTAAGTGCCAAAATGCACAGGCCACAAATAAACACAGCAGTTTGCATTAAATATTGACGAGCTATTTTACACTCTACATTATGATTCACGACCAACAGACCAAACATCATGCAACCGACAGTCCAGCCTAAACCTAAATATGCTTGCAGGAAAATCACTGTGTCACCTAGGCCTTCTTCTTCAACCTGATGAGCCTGAAAATATAATATTGAAATTCAAATAATTTTGATCGACTTTTGAAGAAAATTTGATTATCAAATGCAAAATAAAGTTAATCGTTTAAATTGATTGTGCCATTAAGATTGTGCATTAGTTTGGAATAGTTAAATAAGGTGTGCTCTTGAAAATTTCAATAATTATCTGGTAGTAAGATTACGGGTCGATTTGGGTATTGCATTTTCTTTTTTTTTGAATTCTAAATATGGCAAACTCTTTAACATTTAATGAACATTTTCGTGAAACTGCACTTAGAAAAAATTGGGGCAAGATGGTTTTTTTTAACAATATTATTAATTTTCGAAGATATATAAGTGTAAATTGTATTATGTATAATCTAAAACCTTCAATTTGTAGTATATAATGAGTAAAGTATACCGTCCGATTTTGCCTCTTTCTGTACTCAAATTAAAGTATTTATAAATTTTTAATTATTTTTAAAAGAGGTTTGGAAAGCTGACTTGTCTTGGATTTTCATATTTTTGTCTTTTGTCGAAAATTATTTTCCCTATGACTTATTTAATTATATTAACTGATAATTATTTATGTATTTTACATTTATAATTGCAAATTATTATTTTTTAATCGTATCAGACTGCTTACTTGAGATATCGTTATTACGATAAATTAATGACATTAACAAGATTTCTTCAAATAAAGAAATGATTAACAAACCAATTTTTCATTTAAATAACGGTCACAGGTTCTCATAATTAAATTAATTAATAATCATGGAAATCTTTTTATTTATCTTGGACTAATTTTTTCAGATTTGCTGAATTGGCCTTAATTGTTTATGAAATAAGGGTCAAGACTGATTGTTTTCTTTATGAAATAAGAATCTTATTTGTAATTTTAACGAAGAGAAATTTCTCTGTGTGTATGTTATCTGATTGATCAAAATCAAATCTCGTATGTTCTGTTTTGAATATTTTTTTACATTTTTTTGAATATCTTGCAAACAGTTCAATAAATTTTACTTAAGATCTAGAATCAAACCTGAAGTGTCGGGAGACATGTTGAATTATTGGTAAAAAAGTAAAGCCGATTGCAGCGTGTTTAAGATATCGTCTGAAAAATTTATGTATCTACATAAAGAAATACATTTATTTACATAAACTTACGCAAATGAATATTTTGGGTACTGACGAAAATTGAAATCAACAAAATGGTAGCAATAAATTTTGAGATAAATAATGTTAAATTTTGTTTTTCTATAAATTAGTAATTATTGTTAAAAAACAGAAAATATTCACAAACTAATTTCATTTAGAGTATTTGATTAATTTCATTCTACATGGAATAAAAATATATGTAAAAACCAATTAATTTGTAATAATCAATTTCCAACATTTTTCAGTACAACAATTAATTGAGAATTTAATTTTGAGTTCCTTGTCCGAGTGGAATAAAATTTTTCATTGTATTCCAACAATTCATTTTCAGTACTTTGATGAAGTACTTTATAAAAAATATATTGAATATTTACTAAATGTAAAGAACAATTGGTTTTTTTTTTTTACTTGAACTGAAATCGATGAAAACAACTGTCCAAACCATTTAAGTAGTAAATAATTAATGTTATTCAATTAACGAAGGTCATTAATGATGAACGGAAAATACAGAGAATAAAATACGTTTAAATTCTTTAAACTTTACTTTTTAGATTGAAAAGTTATCGGTGTGGTTTTGAGAGTCACACCCATTGGTTTGTCTATTTTCCGAGCTTTATTTAACTTCTTAACTACACAGAGCAAAATAATTGATTTTTACAAAAAAATATTTGCTTCAATAATTTTAAAAACAATTCTCTATTTGTGTTTTAACTAAGTATCAACCAAACACAGTTTCTAGATGTTTCAATAAAATAAAAATGTTAAAAAAAAATACATTTTTTCATAACTATAACAATAAATTTTTTTGTTCAGTGCAGTTAACTCAAACAATCAATTCAAATGGTCTATCTCTTCACGTGTCTTATTATTTTGAGGATACGTACCAGATAAAATATAGGTGTAGTTATACCAAAAGCAGAAATTCCAGTTGAAATCAAAAGTATCCTTACAGTTTTGCTCTTCAATGTGGTGAAATCAAAGAAAGGTGGTTCGTCGTCGACTTTATTTTTCTCTTTTATTTTTCGCTTTTGATTTTTTAGGTGTAAAATCGCTCTTCTTTGTGGGTGATACAGAGATGCACTACGATAAAATGTTCCCAGAATAAAAGTCAAAAAAACAACACCAGTCACTGCTTGTAAACCCAATCGCCAACCAATTTTTCTACATTGAATTCAATCATCATTTAAAAATTTTATTTTGTTCTATATAGTGACAAATAAAAAAATTTAGCTACCCAATAGCTCCTTTGATAAAAGCTGACATAACGGCAATCCCTAAACCGCTTCCGGAAACAATAAAAATTTCAACGAATTCTCTTTTACGTTTAAAGTATTGAGCTACCATAAGAGTACTACAGTCACGTGTTATGCCTACTCCAATACCTAGAACATAAAATGCATGTCATAACTTTTTGTTTTTAATACATGCTTGGTAATGGAAATCTGATTATTAGTGGTGTGACTGCTTTACTGATATTTACCCACTACTGTACCATAGCTGAAGAAAAGTTGGTGAAACTGCGATGCAAATGACGTAAATAAACATCCTAATGCTGTAACAAGTCCACCGAGTACAGCTGTAACACGGGTACTTTTTTTCCGGCAGAAAGCTATTGTTACTGGGGATACAAGCAGGGCGACTCCAGTCGACATTGCTCCTAGCCATCCTGCAAATACAAAAAATATTTTTTACTTCTTCATTTATTAATAAAATTATGGAAGAGGAATATGAATAAATTCTATGATTTATAACATCATATAGACTGCAAACACTTTAAGTGTCTGGAAACTAAACACTTGAAGTATTTGCAATATTAAACATCATAAACGAACTATGGTAATTTTGTAGTCGACTTTTGAACGCTTTTTACCGTTTCCTAAAATCCTATAGTTTGTTTATAGTGTTTAATTATTAAACACTTTAAGTGATTTATCACTAAACACTTGCAATTTTACGGATTTGCAGTATATATATATTTTTTTATGGACTCTATCTCACTGAGTAACTATCACTAGCATACTGGCTAGCTGACTAACTCACTAGTTAACTAACTCACTTATTAGTGTAGTATAATCTATGACTGACTGGCGTCGACGATCTTATACCTGGTGTAATCCTGATAAATAGCCAATAAAGTCCATAAATTAACGTGATTGGAAAATTTTTGTGGAATTAGTTAATTATTAATTAAAATTAATTGCAATTTTTACCTCCACGGCACTCCTGTAGCTTACATACAAGGTCACGAAATTCGAATAAAATCGTTGATGAATTATTTCAATAATTTACTATGAGGGATTATTGGATAGCGAAAATCACTTCGTTACAGTCTATATAAATTATTTAGGTAAAAACAAATTTCGGTTCTATTTTTGCTACGTAGTTAGTAACCATTTTTCAGAAAAAAAATTTTTTCTGTTGAAAGAACTCGAATTGATAGCACAGATTCCGTTTTTAATTTTTATGAACAGAGAGTGTATTCTTATTCATATTACATTATTGGTAACTCTTTTTTAACAAAAGAGTAAATTTTACGTCGGAAGAATTTGAATACAGTGCATAGATCTCGTTTTCAATTGTTCATAACGAAGTCAACTGTTATGAACAAAAAAAATTATTCGAAATTGATGTAATACTGTTAGTTACACTTTTCCAGGAAAAGAAAGAATATCTCGTTGAAAACACTTGAATACGTTGCATAGATCCCATTTTCAATAGTTTGTAACAAATTCGATAGTCATAAACAAATAGAGTATGTTGCCATTCATGTTATACAATTGGTAATTTCTTTTCAGTGAAAGAAAAAATATCGTGTTGGTAGGACTCGTACACTACAAATTCCAGGATTTCAAAAAAGTGTTAAAATAATACGTGTAAAATGTGTTCAATATAAAATTCCTAATCCTAAAATTGCTCATTTACGTTTTGACAGAATACGAATAACCCTTTGAGCTGTTTGAGACAGTTTTCTCATAATCACAGACAGACACTCTAATTTTATTTATACAGAGAATTTTTTTTTAACGATAGACACTGAGTCAACGCAGATTGAGAACTTCTCTATTCATCATTATAATTACAATACAATATAGATATTGTGAAATGATAATTCGAGAAATGATAGAAATGAACGAAAAGTTTATTAAGATGGCAACAATAATCATTATAATTAAAATAAACGTTTGATGTGCACTCGTCACTGTTGTAAACCAAATACAAACATTTATGTGCTTTGAATTCACAATTTTATTAGTCGAACTTCAAAGAGATATTATTGACAAATGATCACTATTACTATGATAAATCAAGTCACGCATAAAACTTTAAGTAACGGTAAAAAATTATAAAATTTTAAGGATAACTTTCACTAAAAAATTTTTCAATGTTGATACAGTTACGACACTCTTCTACAGCTGAAATAAACTTTTTTTTAGTTAGTTGTTGTTTCTCTGAAACTCTTACTTTTGCTCTGAATTTTTGATTTTTAACTCCTCAGTGGTAAGTTATTGCAATAGATTCGATTTTGTAAATTTTAAATTTTGACATATCTCTACCCGAGTAAAAATGAATAGCCCCCAAAGAAGCCCAAAATCAAAAATAAGCCCAGAATAGACCCGATTGAAGCCTAATCTTGGCTTAGAGAAATTTTCAGTGCCCAAAACGAGCTTATTACAGGCCTAAATTTCGAAGGAGCCCAATTTAAGCTCAAAATGATATTCCAGGTCCACAACGTGCCCAATTCAAGCTCCAAAATATTTTCTGTGAGCCTGAAAAATGATTCGGGCTTGAATCGGGCTTCCTTTGGGCACGTCAAAAACTGATCATTTTTACTCGGGTACGTTTCAAAGTTTCTAAAGTCCAATGATATGGTTTTGAAAAATTTGTCCGTGTGTGCACATGTATGTGTGTATGTATCTTCGTAGTAAATTTTTGTTTGATGTATCTCGAAAACAAATGTTCCCAAGTAGCCAACTCAATGTGAGATTGATAGCAGACTTACGTATGTTAGCTTAAGTTTGTCACTTACGTATGTATCTGCCGTTTTTTGTCAAAAAGGAAACAGACGGATGTAAGTCTGATGAAAATTCTTACGTCAGGGCTTGCTACTAAGGATGATATTAACATAGCATCAGTTTTATTTGATACATAATTCTGTAACTTAAACCTGATTGGATTTTAAGCAAAATTGGTGAAGATGTTTTTCACGCAGAATAAAAAAATCTGAAAAGAAGCAAACTAGCTGATTTCAATAATTCATAAGTTTTTCTATTTTTTTTCTGTTTCCACGAGGAAGTTGGTCAGATTTTTCACATTTTTCTTTCTTTTACTTTAATATGTTGTTTTATGAACAAATTTTCTCGTAAAAAAAAAATTTGCAATCTCTGTAATAATTTTGATTATTTTTCCTTTTAATTTTTAATTTTTTTTATAAACGTTTAAGTGAGTGAAGATAAACATTGTGGTCTATTGAAAAAATTCTATGCAAATATAAGTAACCGGAACCATTTAATGTATATAATGAGCGATAGTTTTTCATACCAACCCTCTTCAATCAACCATTACCATCTATTATCTAAAGTATCTGACAGTGAAATAAAAGTATGATTGACGAGTAAACAGTTTGTTCATCTCTGTACCTCACATGTCGGTTTTTTTTATAGAATTTCTTCTACTCAAATGATCTCATCGAGTAAATGTACTTATTATTTATTTATTTATTGAAACATAATATAGAAAACCCAGTGAAATACGTTGCATATGAAGAATAAAAAGCTAACAGTGACATTTGTACTCGAACTTGACGTAATAAAACTAAATTGAATCAATCAATTAGTCTAGTGAGATTTATTTCCATGTACTTTCACAAATATGGTAAAATTTATGGATCCAGGTGTATTATGTATAATAATTGGCCAGTAATTCGCCAGGGAGCTTTTTAATTGGTTTGAATGCTCTTAAAGATTGGAATTAAAGTCAGAATCATAACATCATTAAACCGAATTAAATTCATCAGAGTCGACAGTTCATTAATAACTTAGTTAGTTTGATGATGAATTTTTTAATTTTATTTCAAAAAACACGTTTAACTTGTGAAATCGAATTAATATTGAAACATCACTATTAGGGTCATCAAGGTATTAACCCTAGAGTCATGATGGTGATCGGTTACCATCAGCGCAATTTAAAGCATCATCAATGGCATTTAATCTAGCATGAATGATGAGAAATTATCATTATTATGATCAATAAATTACTAGAAATTCATGGACCAAAAATAGTTAATAGGTACAAGTACAAATAGTGTGTATTTTGTACATCATGAACTCTCTGAATTAAAGAGGATAATTGGGAGTTTATTTTATTCTTTAGTTAAATTTATCACTTTGATAATATAATTATTGTTTAGATTAAAAAAGATTAATTGAATGGATGATTAAGCTGAGAAGAATGAAGCGCTTAATTAATTTTATGGTATCTATCAAAACTATGTCCATATTTAATAAAATTTAATATCAATTTTGCTCTACATATTGAAAATGATCAACATCAATCCAACTGATCTATCTATTATGCACCCAGGATAACGAGTTCTTCAATTATTTTCAATCAAAGTTATTTCGAGTAAATAATCAAATTTATCCAATTAGCACGAAAGCCTTTTATTATATGAGCTTATTTATTAACAATACACAAATAATGACTAAATGATGGAATGTTCTCCAGTAAATTGAGATGTTAGAGTGTTAGAACTTGAAAAAGGAGCATCTATTACTTTGGAACAATTAATTTTAATGAATAAAACAATCGATTGAATTAAACTAACTGGATGAATTTAAACGTTGTTGAGACAAGATCTGACGTCAAAGTCTTTTGACGGATTTACGTATGTCTGCTTCCTTTATGCAGTTGCATCTAACGTCTGTAGTTGATCTTACGTTTGTTTGCGCATATACTAGGAAACCAAAAGACAGCAACATACGTAAGTGTGACAGCAATCGCTTTCCTAATGACTACAAAGGTAAAACCATAAAAAATTCTTATCAAATATTTCAATATTTTTTGAAAAATAATTTTTTCATGTTGTTGATTTAGAGTTAAAAATTAAAATAAAAAAAGGTGAAAAAAAAATCATCGTTTGCATTGAAAAAAAAATTCTTTTGTAAATAAAATGTGGGACACGGCAAGATATAGCAGTTGTTTTTCATCGTGAATTTTTTTTAAAAATATATGTATGTGTCAAACTATAGAATTAATCTAAGCTTTACGACATACCAAATAAATAAAACATTGTATAATTATGGAATAACTATAAAAAAGTAACTTTATTCTAAATTTTATTTTTAATTATTTTTTCTTCAGCTTCAACAAAAAACTCTCTTGCATATAACAAAGATAATGAGTTAACAGGGATTTATGTTTATATTTGCATTTATTGTTTTTAGTGTAATTATGCTGCACTTTTTATGCACTAGTTTTGTTAAATGCAACTGTGAAAACGAGAGCATAAATCATTTATTACTTGTTGAATAAAAAAAAAAGAAGATAAAAAATTTGCAACGATATTATAAAGCTGACTGGATTAATTAATTTTGCAATGCACCACCTTTCCTCCACATGGTATCACACATCGTTGTAATTATACTGCCATCTATCAACATCAAGTGA